TTTAGGCTAGCGGCGTGCTCGTTTGGGCTAGCGGCGTGCTCGTTTAGGCTAGCGGCATGCTCATTTAGGCTAGCGGCGTGCTCATTTGGGCTGACGCATGCTCATTTGGGCTAGCGGCTCGCTCATTTGGGCTAGTGGTGTGCTCATTTGGGCTAGTGACGTGCTCATTTGGGCTAGTGGCGTGCTCATTTGGGCCGACGGTGTACTCATTTGGGCTAATGGCATGCTCATTTGGGCTAGTGGCGTGCTCATTTGGGCTAGCGGTGTGCTCATTTGGGCTAGCGGTGTGCTCATTTTGGCTTGTGTTCTGTTCTGTGTTGATTTAGCGTTTTCAATCAATCTAAATGGTCATTTAGCACTTCTTTTTCACAGAAAACGTTCTTTTTTTTAGTTTGTAGACTGCAGCGTGTCTCGTTGCTGTGCCGCTGATCACCCTGCACTTCACGCTCTGGGTGTTTCTGGTGAAACCCACCTTTTAATGAAACCTCTTACTGGACTTCTGTCCTTCCTGTCCGACCTCTGCAGGCATCAGGAAGTACGGGCGAGACTTCCAGGCCATCTCGGACGTGATCGGGAACAAGTCTGTGGTCCAGGTGAAGAACTTTCTGGTGAACTACAGGCGGAGGTTCAACCTGGACGAGGTCCTTCAGGAGTGGGAGGCAGAACAGGAAATGGAAGGAGGAGGAGATGGAGGAGTAAAGGAGGAGGACGGAGAGAAAGACATGGAGGTGTGTTTTGCTGAGGATGAAGGAGCTGCTTCTGAGCAGAAAGTGAAGGTGAGTTTCAGATCATATTTGGCGCCGCCTGCAGGACAGTCCAGGTGTGAACACCTGCTTGTGGTTCTACATGGTAATAGTATTCATTTGTGTTATTTTTTCCAGGACCTAAATGTTCCGGTGCATTCTGAAAAGCCTCCGGCCAACTGAGACCACCCTGACCCTCTGACGTGTTTTTATTATTCTTTTCTCTTTTTTGTTCCTTTTATTTCACGTGTAACGGCTCAGGTATGAAGTTGGAGTTGCGACATCACAGCTCACTGAACCAATCAAATGTGAAAACAGTTTTTGCCACATTTGTCTGTTTTTAATGTTTTTTTGTTTATTTTTAGTCTTTTCTCAGCGAGTTGCGTGGAAACATTAAACAATGAGGCCTGTTTGGGATGGGTGGGGGGCGGAGGGTGTCGGTTCATGGTTGGGTTTTTATTTTTAAGTTTTTCAAACTTTTTTAAGAAATGCAATAAACACAAGCACACGACCTAATGTTGTTTTGTCCTTTGGCATCAAAGGCAGAGGTTTCCTTTTTTTTATTTTTCCTGGGTAACATTTTGTTTCTTGGCCGGGTGAGGGATGTAAACAGAATTTTCTTAATATTTATAAATATTTTTCACGCAAGTACGTTAAAGTGTGGTTAATAAAACAAGAATGGTTTCTCAAAGGAATTGTGGTTTGTTTCTAAATGTTGATTTTTACAAATTTTTTTCATCCAAACAGCAGAACTGAACAGATCTAAACATCAAGGTCTTTGTCCCTGCGTGAATTTTTGTCTCTTTGGGAGTAATGTCTTCATCACCTGGGTGTCCTTTCAGTCCATGTTGATCCAGGTCTCATTCCTCTGGTTCTGATTCTGTGACACATTTCAACAGCATCTTCACAAGGTCTGCAGCTTCTGCTCTGGGTTTGACCCGAGCACCTCACAACAGAACCTGTCTCCTTACAGAGCCGTACGATGGCAGGACGTTCTCATGGTTTATACTTTGTGTCGTAATTATTGGAACGGAACATGAAACCCTCGGGAATCTTTGAAATGGAGCCAAGGATAAAATGGAAGTAGTAGTTAATCATTTAATTCGTTTAAAGTTGGAGTTTTTTTTTTTTCATAATGAAAACAAAAGAAGGGCTCTGGGCACCCCTGGCGGCTCAATAGCTACATTCCTGATTAAAACTACAAACTAGAGTTTAATCGAGCTTTAAATTACATAATAAAGCATGTTAGTGCATAGGTGGCTGTGGGTAAAAATTTATGTATTTTATTTCTCACTAAAATTTATTTTTTGCATCTTGGGGGGGTGGGTTGCCAGATAGTAAAATGCCGAACTTCCATACTGTCGCTTTAAAACTCGTTTTTTGATCCCAACCGTCGTTTGTGTGGAGTGAGGGTGCACTGTTTGTGATATGCGGGTGTTTGCGTGAATAAACTTAATTTGTTTGCGCGTTGTAGAAGGCATTGGTTTATCAACCTATCGTATAATTACGATAACTATTGTATCTGGCAACGCGGAGTTGGCGGCTCTCCTTCGGCACGCTCACCACTCGGTCCCCGGGAAGCAGCGCCCCCTGTCGGCGCACTGCTCCCGGGCAGCTGGGGGATTTCCTGAGCGGAAGTAGCGGAAGGGGGTTTCCAGCGTAATGAGCCCAGTCCTCCTCCCAGACAGTCTCCGACCTGGATGCTCAGCGGCTTCTGTCTCCACTAAACACCACCACGGCACGTTCGGAGACCGCGGAAGTCTGTGCCAGAACCGGACTATGAAGAGTCCGCCTGAAGCCAGGAGGCTCCGCAGCTGCGTCGGCGGCACGTTATAACGACCCGAACCCGCCGAGAGTTCACCGAGCCGAGGGGGCTGCTGAACAGTCGAGCCGTGGCCTGTGGAGGAGACTGACGTGAGTCCGCACACACACACCGAGGGGTGAATACATCCATAAAAAACAGAATTTAATACAAATTATCTACAGCTGCCGGTGTGTTTTCTTACGTATTTTACGTACGTATATTTACGTAAAATTTGAGCGAGCGATGCTAAAAAAAAATGCTAACGCTGTTAGCATTAACAGTCTGTGTGTTTACATCCGCTCCCCAATTCAAACCGACGAGTCGAAAATTAGTTTAAAACACTCAGAAAAAAATAAATTTAAAGCACTTCAAGACGACTAGAACAAAAGTCAAACAATGACTCTTGTTGTATTTTAAATTCGTCTTGATATTGTGATTTTCTAGTGTCTATAACTAGCCTCTTGTGCTTTACCTTTTAATAAAATTCAATAATTAGCAGGTTGTCACGTTATTTTATTACAAATCGGACAAATAAAGTCAGATTATTGTCACATTAATGTGGTGTTTTGGTTCACATGAAGCTCAGAATGCTCCAGTCGAAGGTGTTGCTCAACTTATTCAGGTCCATCAGGTGCTTTTTTTCTGCGTAAATTCCCGTTTAAGCGTTTCCAGGTCTAAGAGGGACTTTTTAAAGACCATCGTTTTCCTTGATTACGTAAAGTTTTTTTATCATTTACATACAAATAATAGGACTGACTGTAATGTGTACTTTAAAGATATTTTTCATTTCAGTGTTATTTCAATTTATTTCTTTAATTAAGAGGAAGCCAAAACGTGGAATGAGGATTATAATTGAAAATTGTTCAGTGAATCTCTAAAGTCTGGAGAGGTCCAGGACCTGAGACCAGCTGTTGGAGCTCTTGAAGGACCTGAGGAGACCAGCTGTCGGAGGTCTTGAAGGACCTGAGGAGACCAGCTGTCAGAGGTCTTAGAAGACCTGAGGAGACCAGCTGTCAGAGGTCTTGGTGGACCTGAAGAGACCAGCTGTTGGAGGGATACCAGCTGTCTGAAGTCTTGAAGGACCTAAGAAGGCCAGCTGTCTGAGGTCTTGAAGGACCTGAGGAGACCAGCTGTCAGAAGTCTTGAAGAACCTGAGGAGTCCAGCTGTCTGAAGTCTTGAAGGACCTGAGGAGACCAGCTGTCTGAAGTATTGAAGGACCTGAGGAGACCAGCTGTCTGAAGTCTTGAAGGACCTGAGGAGACCAGCTGTCTGAAGTCTTGAAAGACCTGAGGAGACCAGTTGTCTGAGGTCTTAAATAGACCTGAGGAGACCAGCTGTCAGAAGTCTTGAAGGACCTGAGGAGACCAGCTGTCAGAGCTCTTGAAGAACCTGAGGAGACCAGCTGTCGGAGGTCTTAAATAGACCTGAGGAGACCAGCTGTCTGAAGTCTTGAAGGACCTGAGGAGACCAGCTTTCGGAGGTCTTAAATAGACCTGAGGAGACCAGCTGTCGGAAGTCTTGAAGGACCTGAGGAGACCAGCTGTCTGAGGTTTTGAAGGACCTGAGGAGACCAGCTGTTGGAGGTCTTGAAGGACCTGAGGAGACCAGTTGTCGGAGGTCTTGAAGGACCAGAGGAGACCAGCTGTCTGAGGTTTTGAAGGACCTGAGGAGACCAGTTGTTTGAGGTTTTGGAGGGATTGTTGTACCTTTCTGGTCTGATGGAGGACTCTAGCTGTCCTTCAGTCCTGGATCTTCTCTACTGGATGGAGCAGATGTTCTAAAATCTGAAGATACTTTTCTTCATTGATGGAGTCTTTCCAGATGTGTCAGCTGCACATGTTGGAGGCATTAATGCACCCCCATACCATCAGAGAGGCAACTGTTTGACTTGAGAGCTGATCCAGGCTTGATGATCCCTCTTCTCTTTACTAAGAAAGACGTGGTTTCCAAACAGAACTTCAGATTTGGACCCATCTGACCACCGAACAGTTCTGGACTTCACCTCAGTTCGTTTGAAATGAGCTCTGGTCCAGAGAAGACGGCAGCGGTTCTGGATGTGTTCACATCTGGCGTCTTCTTTGTCTGTTAGAGCTTTAAGCAGCACCTGTGGATGAACTGTGTGTGAGGGCCTCGTCCTTGGAGCTCAGATTTCTTCAGATTCTTCTAATCTGTGGATCAGATTATGAACTGGAGATGATGGAGATTAAAGTCTTTATGCTGAAACTTTATTCTGAAATTCATTCAGGACCTTTATTCTGAAGTAATTCCTCTAGTTTTAGACAGACTGATGAACCTGTGTCCATCTTTACTTCTCAAGTCTTTGTCTCCGGTCCTCTGACCTGCTGATCATTCACCTCATCAGACTAAATGTTGGTTCTGATCCGGATCTGACTGTTGGACTTCTGCTGCTGGAACGACTTTTTAAAGACGTCTTGCTGACATCACCCCACTAATCATTGCATTCTGTTTTTATTTACATTTTACACAAAATTCCAACATTCTCAGAATTGAAGTTGTGGTTTTGGGAGTTAAATTATGCTAAAATCAAACCAGTTTTAAACTGGGGGAAAAAAAAACAACTTTTTATTGGGTTAAACTGATTTATACATAAAAACTGTAAAGTTGCTAAAATCTGAAAAATGTCCCAACTCTCTGTTTCACAGATGTTCTGTGAGTTTATTACTTTTCCAACACGGCTTCAGCCCCCTGCCATTTTTTTCTTTTATCACCTGCCACCAAAGGACAAGGGCAAATATGGCTTTGTCTGTTAGCAAAATATCTTATGAACAACTAGACCACCTTTAGTCGGACTTACCACCACCAGTCATGTACTGTTGATTAACTGACTACCTTTTGGAGTCGAGCAGGTGGCCGCCACGGCTAATTGATGTCAGCTGATTAACAGTGGCTGAAATTCGGTCAGTTTTATGGATATCGAGCTAAAGCTTGCAGCTGCTGGTGGGTTAATTGCAAAACAGAAACACTAAGCTCGTCTTGTTTAAGACCTGTTTTAGCTCTTTTTGTCCAAATCTACTCGGTTAATGCACGCGAGGTGAGATGTTCTTCGGTTCGGTTCTGGTTCTGCGGCCGCATCAGTTAATTTATTTAAGAGCTTTATATTGCGTTTCTTCTGCAGCTGGTCTGGAGCACTGTACCAGCTGTTCTGGGTTTTGGAAACCCCCCCTGATTTTTCCAGTTTCTCTTTCTGAAAATAGTGACTAGTCACGATTTCAGTCACCTGTTTTCTTTGAAGTGACAAACCCAAAATCACAGATTATTGTAATCTGTGACTTCTGACAAATCTGATGTGATTTAATAAAAGTATCTCTCCTAATTCTTTTTAAAAAAAATCTAAGTGTTGTATTAAAGTTTTCACTCTTCACAGACATATTCAACCTTTATTTCTACAGGTTAGTCTCATTGAGCCTCGGGGACTCATTTACAAGAGAGACCTGATTTAAACAAAGAAAGATGACAACAGTGGACAATCATATAACAAAAAAAAAAGAAACAAAAACAGTTAAATTCTAAGGCGGTTTAGAAAACTAAAAACAAGAACATGTCTGCGTTGGTTCTTGCCATAAACTTAGCAGATGTTTGAAGCCACTTGGAGAGGTCAAGGTCAAGAGCTTCAGATCTTTTTGGATATTCCAGGAAACAGGATGCATATACCCTGAAAGCTTTGAGTAGCAGCTAAATGGTACAGAGCCAGAATAGTAGCTAAACATAGCAGAACTGTAGCTAAAAGTAAAATATATTGAGAAGTTTAAAGGCTACAAATTCAAATCTTTCAACAGCCATATTGAAAGAGCCGAATGTTTTCACTGAGGAACAGCTAAAATAAAAAAACGCTCCGTTCTCCTTCCACACGGACGCTGAATCGTACGAGATAATTCTCTTGTGCAACAGTGATTCATTTTAAAAACCACTTCACTTTACTCCTAAATATCTTCTACTTGACGCTGTTTTCTTACCAAGTTATTATAATTTTTAATTGTTCAATAAACTTTATTTATTAAAACGTCTCCCTGTTCAGTGAAAAATTCAGAGTCTTTGTTTCTCACGAAGAAATAATTCAAAATGAGTGTTTGTGTTAATAATGGAGTCAATGGAAAAGCCCCTAGCTTCCCCACAGTTCAGCCCTGACAGGAAGTGAGGTGTGTGTGTGTGTGCGTGTGTGTGTGTGTGTGTGTTCTCACGTCATTATTATTTCTTAGTTATTTTGCCCATCAGTAATTTATTCAGTATTTCCTGTGAGCTTAATTTATTTGTTTTTTAATGTTTGTGTGAAACATACACGGTTTAGTTTTTTTTTTTAATCTTTTGTTTAAAAAACTTTTTAAATAAAATTTGATTTAATTAGGCCGAGCTTACCTTGAAGGAATGCACATCACCCGCCAGATTTATAGCTAAAGGTTGTGAAATGTCTGAGACGTTTTTGGTGAAAATACCAACATGCACGCACAAGCTCTCATCATAAGGGCTTCTGCTGCAGCCCAGCATGATTTGGGGATGACTCTCAGCTACTACCACACCAGTTTTAACTCCATCTCTACGGTGTTATGGATATGTTCAACAAGCTAAACTCTCAGTTTTGGATGTACAGCCACGAGTGACTAATGAGAAACTAATGCTTGCAGACACAAGAACATTGTCGCTGCCTCCTCTTCGGCGGTGTGCAACAAGTGCGCATGTAGGAGCAGACATGTTTTTTTACATATTTTATTTTTTGTGTTTGCTGGAGGCACGAACGCAGCAGGATTCTCAGTTTATTATAATCTGTGCTGTTTTTTTCTCCCTAGCTTCCTCAGGTCATGTCATCTGGTAGAAGTGCTGATGGGAGGGAAGTGCAGATACCCCTCCAGCAGGTGGCGCCATCCCTCATCTCACCTTTGTCCTGTACCCCCGCTATCACACCACCCTCCCACCGCTCGGCCAATCCCTGGCCTCTGTGTGAGCCCGCCACCCAGCAAGGTAGGAACTCCTCAGAAACCTCACCGGGCGTAGCTTCTCCGCGCCCGGCAGGTAGAGTGACGGGTCCCCTCTGTGTCCAGGTGTCCCTGCAGGGTTCCTGCCTCTTCACGGAGGATTCAGAGATCACTTTGTCGAGACGCCAGAGGCCAAGTACCGCTGTGAGGACTGCAGGCTGGTCCTGTGCCATCCTCGCCAGACGGAGTGTGGACACCGCTTCTGTCAGAGCTGCATCAACGACTTCCTCAGGTGAGGCGCGCAGGTAGCTGCAGCTGCTTGAAGCTCCTGTCGCTCTGTGGTTCTGTGACGTGGTCCCAAGTCGTTACTTGTGGATCGAGCCAGTCACATCTCACCAGAATGTTGGCGCCTCAATTTGTCCATTACATGTTGGGCAGGTCGGCGACGTGGGGTGGGTGATGATGTATTTGCTTTGCCGTCTCCCTTGGCTGCCGTGAATTAATTAGGTGCAAACATGTACTAGTGTTGTGTTCAAGACCACCTAACCCGAGACCAAGTCAAGACCAAGACCTCAAATAAAATGAATAAAATATAACATTTTATTATAAAACATTTTACAACAGTTACATACTGCAACTTTTAGTTTGCTTTTGAATGAATATATCAGCTTTTATAAATTTTCAAAGCTACATAACAAAGAAATCAGACATTCAGTGGCCTGACTTCATGTGATTCAACAATTAAATTACACAACTGTTAAATTGGAAGCAGTTTCATCACATGCCAAGCCTTAAAAACCTGCAGTGGCAAAACACTCTTCATAAGTCCGAACTCAAGACCAATAGTTGCACAGTGGTTTCAATAAAGTTGTAGATATGCACCTAAAAAAGTTATAAATGGATATTAGTTACAAGTATATTCTTTGTGATTTGAATAGCTAAATTTTATAAGTGATTTAATGGCAGACATCTTTTCCCGCACCCAGACAGTCACTTCTCACTTTCTTGGAGTGACCTGTGTTGCCAGATAGTCGAGGTTTTCCAGCCCAAAAATCTGTTAAAAACCACCACATCACATAAAAATCTGCCCAGTCAATATATTGTTATATTTACTGTTTGAACATGAACACACATCAGTACAAACCAAGGTAATTTAATAATATGTGGCAAAATGCAACAAAATCTTCCCAGAGTTCCCAGCACAATCAGAATGAAAACCACCCAATTGGCAGTAAACCGCCCAATCTGGCAATACTGGGAGTGGTGCGTGCGAGTGAAAGGGGGTGGGCGTGACGGCGTTAACAAAAAATGTATTTAGCAATGAGTCACGTTATCGCTTGGATTTGAACCAGTACGTTTTGTATCCAATAAAAACAAAGATGTTAACAAATAAACTGGACAAGATTCTGGCAATTCAGTGATATTTCCACAGTTGTGGTCTTTGGTCTTGAAATAAGATCCTGAGCCCTCAATGTCCGAGACAAGACCGAGACCATCAAAAAGTGGTGTTGAGACCAGTCTCAAATCCAAGACCGGTCTCGAGTACTACACTACTGAAGTGTGAGGCCATTTGACAGACGTCCAGAACTTTGTCCCTCAGCTGATCTTCAGCACCGACCTAACTTCCTGTTCTGTCTCTTCTGTAGTCGTCCGAACCCGATCTGTCCGGCCGACAAGGAGCCTTTGTTCAAAGACAAGGTGGGCCGAGAGTAAAGGCACAGCTGTGTTGTCATGGTGCTGGATCAGGTTTTGAGCGTTGTGGGTTTTTTTTTTGGTTTTTTTCCAGATCTTTAAAGATGTTTGTTGTCATCGAGAGATCATGGCGCTGAAGGTTTTCTGTCGAAGCGAAGCTAACGGCTGTCAGGAGCAGATGAGTCTGCAGCAGATACCAGTGAGCAGATACTTTGAGTTCAGTCCACCGCCCGGCTGGATGTTCGGTTCTGTGTAAATCACGGCCTGTCTCCTCCGTCTGTCTTCAGGACCACCTGAATGTGTGTCCGTTCTTCGAGGTTCCCTGTCCTTTGGGTAAATGTAAGGAGCGAATGATGAGGAAGGAGATTCCCGATCACCTGACATGGAAATGTAAACACAGAGAGACCACTTGTGAATTCTGCATGACCAAGATGCCTTTGACCGACCTGCAGGTAAGAACGGGTCCAGGTGGATCAGTTCAAAGAGTCACGCTAATTAAACGTGCATTGAGTTTTAACCAAAGATCATTTCGTAATTGTAGCCGTTGGGGTCAAACCTTGAAATCAATCATTCATGTTCAGAGTATATGTTGTGAATAACTCGCAGCTACTACCACACCAAGTTTTAGCTCGATATCTGCAGAATTAACCGAGTTGTGGCTCTTTTTTTTTTTTGAGTTTGCAAAGTTTAATCAGCTGTGACGGCCATCTTAAATCGGACTGACTGCAAAAAACGTTCATCATCCAGTGAATACTTTGAGTTTTGTTAAAATCCATCCAACGGTTTGTAAGATATTTTGCTAACAAACACATTATTGCCCAAATTTTCGTCTCCTGTCTTGGAGTGAAGAGGGGGAACTGGACATACCGTCTGTCAAAAACTGGGTTGCCACATCAAAATCCAAGATGGCCACCACTATGTAAACCGACCCTCCCAATCATTTGAGGAAACTTTGCTTTCGAGTTTTTAAATTGCTTAAAAGTAAAGTTTTCTCCGGTGACCGGGTAAGGTGTCCAAGGCCAGCAGCTGAAATTCAAACGTGTCTCGGGTGAATTTCTCAGACATAATATCTTCAGGTGGTGGGTTTGTGCTGCTTCAGAGTGTAACCGGACCTCAGAGGACCAAGTGGTTCAGTGATTCAGACACGTCGCTGATGTCTGGTGCTTTTAACAAAGTAAAACACGAACCCTGAAGTTTTTCTCTTTTTGCTCACGTGTGTTTCCAGAAACACAAAGACACCGTGTGTCCAAAGTTCCCAGTGTCATGTCCCAACCACTGCTCCTCTTCCTCCCTGCCCCGGAGTGAGGTACTGATCCCCCCCAACCTCTCCTTCCCAACCTTCTGTCCACCCCAAATACTCTTTTGATGTATTTGTATGTGTCTCGTTTGATAATATACTATTGTTTACGTTGTTCCAGCTTTCCAGCCACCAGCACGACTGCCCCAAAGCCCAGGTCAGCTGTCTGTTTCATCGCTTCGGCTGTACTTTTAAGGTTACTCGCCATCATCGTTTCCTTTTCATCTCCATTAACGCACTCCTGCATACCTCTCATATAAATACTGTGGTACTCATTCTCTACTTTGTGTACTTTTTAGGGTTTGAACCAGGAAATGAGGCAACACGACTCAGCCTTCGCGGCAGAGCATCTACGGATGATGGTCAACAGGAACTGCTTGTTAGAAAACAAGGTAACCGTGGCAACCGAACTGCGTCACCATGAACGTGAAGTTTTACTGTAGTGCTTTGAAGTTCTAGTACTGACATCCTTAGTATTTGTAACGTGAGGGTAGAAAAGGGAAGCTGTACTGATGAGTTTTGTGTCTGAAGGTGGAGGACGTCAAAGAGGAGTTGATGGAGCGGTATAAGGTTCTTCCATCTCTGAGCAGCCGCCTGTCGGAGCTCGAGAACCAGAACGACGAACTCCGAGACAAGAACCGGCTTATGGAGCAGAAACTGGCCACCATGCAGGTAAGACATCTACGTTACCACTAACCTACAGAGGTAAAGAAGATTTTTAAAGATGATTGAGGCAAACTGCAGCTTCTGCAGCGTGAACACCGACCGCTGAACGACAGCCGAAATCTGCCGAAGAAACAGAAAATTCAATTCAGTTTATTTCTATAGCTACAGAAGTCGTGTCAGGGCACCATACAAAAAACATTCACATCCATTATAAAAGCCAAGTAGTAAAAGTTCTCTATCTAAGGAAGCAGCAGATTGTGTTGAATCTTCACTTTGTCCCAGTCTCCCATCCTGAGCAAGCACAAAGGCAGCAGAAAAATCCCCTTTTAACAGGTAGAGTAGAGCAAGTAAAGACAGCAGCAGTGTGAGGAAATGAGGTCAATTTGTCCTCAAGCAGTCGTAAGATTATAGCAGCATAAGTAAGGGATAGCTCAAGAGGAAATCCAAGCCAATCTTAACTATAGGATTTATCAAAAAGGAAAGTCTTAAGCCCAGTCTTAAAACTGGACAGTGTGTCAGCCTCATGGACAGAAACTGGAAGTTGGTTCCACAAGAGAGGAGCCTGATAACTGAAAGATCTTCCTTCCGTTCTACTTTGGGTATCTCTAGGAACCACAAGTAAACCTGCAGTCCGAGCGCTAAGTGCTCTGTTAGGAGAGTATGTAATGACAAGATCTGCAATATAAGATGGAGCCAGGTTGTTGAGAGCTTTGTAGGTTAGAAGTAAGATTTTGAATTCAATTCTGGATTTGACAGGGAGCCAATGGAGAGAAGCTAAAACTGTAGAGAGATGATCTCCTACCAACTCTCATTAAAACTCCGGCTGCAGCATTTTGGGCCGACTGAAGACTTTTTAATGACGTTTTTGGACACCCAGATAATAAACAATTATAATAATTCAGCACAACACAGTAGCTAGATGTTAACAAAACCATAAGTAAATCTGAAATTGGTAAACACAAAACTAAGAAGTCAAATTAGCAACACTAGCTAAAAGCTAAAATTAGCAAATCAGAAGCTACAAACATATTAGCAAAATTGTCGCTTAAAACTCGGATAAGCAACACAGTAGCTAAAAAACTAAATTGGCAGAAAATCAAAACATGCTGAATCATAGTTACAGTAAAAGACAAAAGTATCAAAACTCTGGTTTAAAGCTAAATGTAGCAGAATGCTAGCTAATAGTAGCACCAGTAGTTAAAAACAGAGCGAGCAGCTGAAGCTTATGTCAAAGGAAACAATTGTTTTGAAATAGAAAAAGACCTTTCTATGCTTTTCTATGGTGGGGGGGGGGGGGGGTGTAAATAAAGTTAAATATTGAATCAGCGTTCAGACAGATGCAACCTGTGGAGGTGTAGTCCATGTGTGGACGGCTCCTCAGCTGAAGGTTTAAGGTGGCTCCAGAAACAGTTGGGGTCTGTTTTGAGGTAAACTTATCGGTTCTTTGAACTCAAACAGTCGAACCTGTCACTGTGTTTCTATAGAAACTGATGAGCTCTCACTCAGAGAAGCTGCTGGAGCTGGAGCTGGAGATTCGTTCCCTCCGTCTCCTTCGGGACGAAGTGGAGAACCTGCGAGGAGCGCTGGAAAACGTCCGGACGAGGCTAGGCGCCCTGGAACAAGGGGGACGGTGTGGAACCGGGTCGACTCACACTCTGGGTCAGTCTGCACGCCGAGAACGACGGGTCTAAGAATCCCGGCTGATAATTGATCTGATCGATGAATGTCTCCGCTCTTTGCAGCGTCCCTGGAAACTCAGCTGACTCAGCACGACGACATGCTGAGCGTCCACGAGGTCCGGCTGGCTGACATGGACTTGCGCTTTCAGGTGCTGGAGACGGCGAGCTACAACGGGACTCTGATCTGGAAGATCCGAGACTACAAGAGGCGGAAACAGGAGGCGGTGGCAGGAAAGACGTTGTCTCTTTACTCCCAGCCGTTTTATACTGGATACTTTGGGTACAAGATGTGCGCTCGGGTTTACTTAAACGGAGACGGGATGGGCAAGGGGACGCACCTGTCTCTGTTCTTCGTGGTGATGAGAGGGGAGTACGACGCTCTGCTGCCGTGGCCGTTCAAACAGAAGGTACCGTCTGCTTTTATTCACCGTAAAGTTCCGTTTACAGCCGCAGAGTTTGTCAGGAGGGTCCAGCATGATGTGTTCAAGGAACTAAACCTTTTTTTTTATTGTTTTATATGAATATTATAGTCTTGGGGACCCCCTGCTGGCCTGGTAGCTACGATTAGAACTCAAGTTTTGATGTTTTTTGGTAAACCTGATCTGGTCTGTGTCTCTCAGGTGACTCTGATGCTGATGGACCAGGGTCCTTCCAGGAAACACCTGGGTGATGCCTTTAAGCCCGACCCGAACAGCAGCAGCTTCAGACGTCCCGGGGCAGAGATGAACATCGCCTCCGGCTGTCCTCTGTTCGTGTCTCAGAGTCTCCTGGAGACGGGCAGCTACATCAAAGATGATACCATCTTCATCAAGGTGGGGGTCAAACTCCTGAAACTTTCACGGTAAAATTTATCTGGTGCCACAAAATGTGCTGGAACTTTCTGAGCAGTGGGGGTGACCCCTGCACTATAAAGGGAACACAACTATAAAGAGGTTTTTTTTAACTAAAACATTAAAATTTGACATTAATCTTTGCTTTTCAATGGCGGCACCAATTAATCATTCATCTCTAATCGCATCTAATTGAAAGTGTTTTATTTTTATTCTTCCATCAACTTTGATGCAGCCTGAACGGAAGAGTGCACCCCACACGAGCAACACATCGAGTAGCTAAAGCTTTTATTTCAAGTTATGGTGATTTGTCCAAAATAACCCCCAAGGATTACACGGAGAACGCTTCAGATAATAATCTCATTAACAGCAGGACTGGCATTATTGAAACTCCCACAAAGTAATCACTGGAGGTTCCTCCACGACTGATTACCGTATTTTCCGCCGTAAATGTCGCTCTGCCCTATAAGTCGCATCAGTCCAAATATTTCAAACAATGTGGAAAAATCCATAAATGTGTCGCTTTGCCGTATATGTCGCATCTATTGTGCATCACTGCTGATGCGTCGCGTTTGTTACACGTCCCTGCTGACAACCCAGAAATGTGGGTTGGTGTTGTGCCAAAAATCGATTGGCTGCCAAGTGGCAGCCGTGGGAGCGTGCACGGGAGGACTTTAACAAGAATTTAACAAGATTAACACTTACAATAATTTGTTTGCTCAAAATTATAGCAAAGGTGTGTCTCAGTTGAAATTTTACTTAATAAATGCACTTTGACGGTCAAATCAGCTGCATTTCACTGAGGAAATGCAGCAAAACGAAGCTGATTTGAGAGTTGCTCCAAGCAGCGAGCAGAAGGTGAAAGTGTATGGCAAGCCGATTGTATCATTAATAGCTGGTGAACATTCTCAGTCATCCAGGACATGGTAAATTCAAAAAAGTTCAAGACAAAAAGAATGAAGTATAATAAATAAAGTCCAGTTGTTTTTGTCTTGAAGTTTTTTGAATTTGTCACTAATAATCACTTTTACCTATTACATGATACAATGGCATGCCTTACTACTCGACTGCCTTCTCAGCTGAAAATGGTAGTGTTCCATTTTTTTTTTCAGTCAGAATGAATGAAAACGGTCATATCTCAGCCAAAAATTGGTTTATAAATATGGGAAAAAAATCCATAAATATGTTGCTTTGGCCTATAAGTCGCAGGGCGTGCAAATTATGCAAAAAATGCGATTTATAGGGCAAAAAATACAGTAGTTGTTTGTTCAAAATGGATGCCAGTGCTAATAAAGTGACAGACTAACTCACAGGTAGCATGATTTGATCAACATGTTTTGCTTCTTGTATTCTAAAACAGGGTTGCAGACTCTGCTGTGAACTTGTGTTAAATAAAGTGATTATTGATGAACACAACACAATACTCACTGCTTTGATTGACAGGTCACAGTGGATACGTCTGACCTCCCCGACCCGTGACGGTTTTCCCCTCTCCAGTTCGAGACGCAATCATCGCTGCAAGATCAGCACTGCAAAGGATGATGGAAGGATCGTGACAACGGAGTCCCGCTGGGCAGACGGGGAAGCAGCCAATCAGAGACCGGACGGAGGGCGTGTCCTTTTTCCCCGCCCACAAAGTGGACTACAGAACTGTGTGTGCGTGAACAGGTCCGTCGGTGGAGAAGCAGACCTGGCGCCAGGCTCCGCCTCTTATTTATTACGCTTACTGAAGCTTGCTGGGAAGTACAGGTCGAACGTCCAGAACCAGTACAAACTGGCGCAGTTCAGAACTTTTATCTCTTAAACAAACTGTGGAAACTCGTTCATACTAACTGGTTCTGACTGGCTGATGTCACAGCTACGCACACTAGATTATCTTAGCTACTAGCTCAGCTAGTTTCTGACACTAACCTGATCCGGTCAGACTAGTTGGTCCCAGAGAGGAACCTGACTGGTTGAACTGAACTGGACTCAGTGGTTTGAGTTAGGCTCTTGTTTTTAGAGAGCATGTTTTGTTCCAGTTTGAAGATTTTTCATGTTATTTTGAAAGCAGGGTAGCTGGGTTATACCAGCTGCTCCTCTGACCCAGTTGTTGGGTAAAATCGGCTCTTCCTTTGACCTGGCTGATGGGTTCTTGGTCCTCCTTTGACCCAGTTGCTCTTTCGCCCCGGTTGTTGGGTTTAACAAGCGTCCCCTTGGACTCGGTGACAGAAAAGCTGGTTGCTCCACCAGAACCGAAAGATCCAGTGTGTCAGGACCTAGGAAACAGGAATCGAACAAAATGTAATCAAGTGAATTGTTTTAAAGGAGTCGTGATCTGGACGGGACCAGAGCTGCAGATGCCAGTCGGGTTTCAAAAGGATCTCCGGGCTGGGCTGGGTTTTTCCAGAACAGATAGAATTTGTCCAACTTTTTTTTTTTGGATCCATTTGCACAATTTAAATGTTTGTTGAAGTGTCAAATAAACAGAAATCTAAAGCATCAACTGTTTTTCTTTTTTTGTGAACTACTACAAAGACGTCTCCAGTGTGCACTTCACCCACCGCCACCACAAACAGGCAATCCCCGGTTGTTAGCAAAATATCTTGTGAACCACTGGATAGATTTTAACAAAATTTAAAAATATAGTGATTGTATGTTTACATACAATTGATTCACCCTTAGGGTCAACCTTATTCAAGATGGCTGCCACAGTTAATCAACCTCAGGGATGTGTTGAGCCCCCTTCTGTTTACTCTGCTCACATATGATTGTGCAGCGACCCATCCAGGCTGTCACATTGTAAAGTTTGCAGATGATACAGCGGTGGTGGGATGCATCACAAACAATGATGAGTCCAGCTACAGGCAAGAGGTGGAACACCTGGAGAGCTGGTGCAGAGAGAATAACCTTCACATCAATGTGAAGAAGAC